AACCAGAAGCGTGTTCCACGACCAAAATGGGCACACCCATGAGAACGGAATGATGGTTAATTAAAACTTGTGTATTGTATATCGTCATTTACATAAACGGCAGTACAGTTCAAAGACATCACGTTCTACTGAACAGCTATTAGAGAAGGTATACTTTACAAGGAGTTGGTTCAAAGGCATAAAACCTACCTACTCTTGCACGTTTCAACTTCAGAGTTATAGCCAGTTACATGAATTAATTTTCATTCATGTGGGGGATTGTTGGAAATTTTAAGTAAATTGGACATTTTTTGAACATAAATTCGGTAGGGTCAACAAAATTATTTTCCAAAATAATTATGGACGTTCAATCTCGTAAGTAAGACGAACGTCTTGACATATGACACGCCATAAACGGTGCTCGGGTGAATGAGAAATTAATTCTCAAAGTTGAATACGAGGGTAGAGTAAATACCCTTGTCCCACACCGGTTTTTGAACCTTTCATATTCTCATATTTAAGCTTAGGCTTTTAATTGAGCTTATGAAAGGAACAAGAACAGGACTCCTCGCGCGCCACCGCCACCAACATTCGTCTGGCTCGGCACGCGCGCGCGCGTCGTGTCGGGGCGGCGCGCGTCGCGTCTGCGGCGTGGCGGGGCTAAATTTTTACGAGACCGAATTAAACACGCGTGGACACTTCGTGATTAACGAAGTGCCGTTGTAATGAGCATGCATGCACTTGAGACCGAAGAGAAACTCATCTCTTCGTAATCTCCGACGGTCCAGCGAAGAGCCAAAATTCCCTCCTATAAAAGGAGGGCTTGGCTGCAGGAGAAGAATACACTCGAAAACTCTCTCTCTCTCTCTCTCTCTCTCTCTGCAGTAAAACTCTTCCGACGAATCCCTGATTTCCGATCATCTTCTTCGGCAATAACTTCCCATCGTTCTCGTTCGCCGGTGCTCTGTTTTACCGCTCTAGACTTAGCACGAAGCGATTTTATCCTGGGAGGAAATTGCCCACGTTTGCCAGTGCGGGAGGCGGGAAATACTACCTTAAGGAAAGCTCCGGCGACTCCGCTTTCCTAACCTTTAGTTCGAGAAACTGCTCCGGCGACGCCCAACCCTCTGTCTGAAGTCACTGTCTTGCTGTCCGTTCGTGTTCTTCCAATCCGTTCGAGCATCCGAAAACTCTAATTTTTCTTATTTTATTTTAATTATAAAATCCGAACGGTTTATAAGTTCAGATTATTATAGATAGTTATTTTTTCCCGCTGTAATATTCAACATCGGGTGGTTTATCAAAGGAACATCTTGGTGATCTGAAGATCTCTCTAGCAAAATGTGTTCCCTGATGACGGGTAGTGCCGCGTGGGCCAACCCATCCGGGTGGTTTGCAACCCAACGGGTCAGGTTTGGATTCGTCCTAGTTACCCTGTGACAAATCCTTCATTGGTCATCCAGTTAGTTCCAGTGGTCGACCCGGGACGGAGAGAGTATTAATTATGATGGATGTGGCGAAAGATATTAGTATTTGTTTTGGTTACATATAGAAAGATTTTCATCGTATGAAAGCATCTTCAATCTCCAATAGAACTATATACATTGAGTTTCAAAATTGTACATCTTCTAATAAAACTTTATTTCCAATTACAAAATAGGTTTTGGTATTTCAAACCCAAATATAGGTGGTACTTTGTAGTACTCTATTTTGTTTTCTTAATTTTTTTAAATTTTTTAGGTTACATGCATTATTTGTCTCTCTATCTTACTGATTTATTATAATATACTTAAATATTTTAATTTTCAAAACCTAAAAAGTAATAAGAAAAAAAAGACACTCTTGAAAATAATATTGTAATTTCGATGTAAGCCTCGTTTAGATCAGCATTAGAGGTTAGCGTCAGCATTTTGGAAATACTATACAACAGTAGCATTTAGCGTTAGCGTTTCAGAATTAATCTAAACTATTAAAATTTTATCCAAAACGCTAACGATAAGAAAAAACGTTCTTCTCAAACAAGACTGTAATGGATTGAAAATGAATTACTATAAACTTGACATTTAGTGCGTTTTGATTCCGAATTTAGTGTGAATAGTTACAAATGGTCTAATAAGTAATACTACCTCCGTCCCAGAGTATTTGTTCAGTTTTGACTTTTTTCTGTGAATGAATCATTTTCAACATTTGACCTTTAATTAAATAAAATATATATTACATATTAATTTGATAAAATAGTATTTTGAAAATATCTTATATAATAAATTTAAGAAAACTATTTTTGTATCAATATCTATTATTTTTTTTATTTAATTTAGGGTCAAAATTTATCAAATTTGATCAAAAAAAATCAAAATAGACAAAAGGAATAACAACACAACAATAATACAAGAAAATAAAGAGACACTGTATAAGAAATGTTGTTACAAGGTAGGTAAAACACCTACTCCATAGTCATACTATACAATCATAAAGATGAAGAGATATAAAATTTTACACAGAATCTAAATATTTAAATATTTATCCACGATCCCAAGAACGATCCATGCACCCTAACACATTATATATATAACATAAATATATATAATTAATCGGGCTTTGGGGGGGGGGGGGG